TCTTAAAAAGGCAATGCCTGGGAAAGCGGCGCTGAGCCGGGATCTTTGCAGCGAGCGGGAGCCGGGAGTCTTGCCCCTGACGTCAGTGGGTTTGGGATCAGGCCCTGCCAGTCAACTGGGGGGAAGGTGCAAAACCCCACCCGGCACTTCTGCTCCTCCCGGGGCATCCCGAGGCTGCACCGAGAGACCGTTCTGCATGGACCAAAAAAGGCAATGCCTGGGAAAGCGGCGCTGAGCCGGGATCTTTGCAGCGAGCGGGAGCCGGGAGTCTTGCCCCTGACGTCAGTGGGTTTGGGATCAGGCCCTGCCAGTCAACTGGGGGGAAGGTGCAAAACCCCACCCGGCACTTCTGCTCCTCCCGGGGCATCCCGAGGCTGCACCGAGAGACCGTTCTGCATGGACCACGCGGGGAGCCCATGCAAGCAGAGTTGTGTAAACGGTGCAGGGCAATGAATTTACTCAGCCGCTTCACCTCCTTTTGTCCTGGCCAGTTCTCCAGAACAGGCGGCCGCTTTCTCCAGTGTACTCTTTCTTGTGCTGTTTCTCCCAGCAACCTCATAAACTAGACGCTTTGCGATCAATGGGGAGAGGGGAAAAGGAACAACACAACAAAAGTATTTGAAAATCTACACACATGTGAATGGATTTATTTGAGTGTTTTTAGTATTTTAGCTGTGGGCATAAATCACGTGTGTGAATCGCTGATAAATAGGAATTAGATGTACCAAGGACGTAATGGGCCCTGTCTTACCTTCCACCAAGTTCTGCCATCAAAGTATATGCTTTGCTACATTTTCAGACATTCTATATCTCTGTACACTCATCCAAATATCTTCACACTTGTCACAGATAACAATGCCTAGCCCTTAGATGGTGCTTTTCATCTACAGAGCTCAAAATACTTTACAAAAGAGGTCAGCACCCATAGCTCCATTTTACAGATGGGAAAACTGAGTCTTAGAACAATGACAACAATGTCATCAAATGCCCACGGTCATCCAGCTGGCTAATGGACAAGCTAGGAGTAAAATCAAGGTCTCCTTTGCCCCACAATAGTGTGCTGTCTGCTAGGCCAGACAGCAAGGGGAAGAGCAAATTCCCAGACAACAATTTGTACTGGGTGTATACCACACATAAAAACCAACCAAATGCATAAGCTCTGTGGGAGGGAGAGCGTCCAGAGAAGAGGGAGCCATCACCCACTCTACCATAGCCCAAAGAGTGAGTCAGATACACCCGGTGTTCTTTGGCATGGGAAAGACCCATGTGATCATAATGTGGTACCTCCACAGCTTCCATTAAACTAAATAGCAAAGTTTAGTATGCTACCCCGAGCCTTCCTGTTCTCCCTTTGAAGTCAAGAGGAGCTTTTGGCATTGGCTTCGCTGGGAGCCGGGATGATCAGCTTCATTTTTCCTTTAAGTAAACACAAAAGAGAACTTGTTGCACTGGCGTCAGAATATGGTGGTACCTGGGACATCATGATGTTGAAGAGACAAATGGCCCATTTAAGCATTCCTTGATGATAGTCAAGAAAAATAGGATGATGCCCAAAGTGATGAGAAAACCTCTTATTAACTTTACTGTTGTTATTCAAATCAACAGCCATGAAACAAAGAAAACAAAATCAAAGAAAAAAGTCCCTATAATACTTAAAGCAAGAAGTCAGACCTTTAAATGGACACAAATCCTATTGATTTGAAATAGTGAAACATATTGATTTTCTGACCTGTTTGCTGAACATAATCTGACATGCAGCAATTAATGCAGTCCAACACAATGAGACATGTTTTATTCCAGCTGAAATGAATATGTGCACAGAAAATACCAATTACTTTGCCTGGAAGGCTCCGTATTTAAGGAGCTTTTGCTGTATTTATATTTGCTGGAAATGTCTGAAGGTTTGTTTTATTTTTTATGGATGTGGAGGGAACATTCTTTAGAACCTGAATAAAGAAGTCTCATGCTGCACTTTCGGGTCAGGCTCCCTGGCATCAGAATGTAAAAATGCTACTTCAAAAACAACAGGAACAGGTTGGTATTATGCTGGTTTGAGTAAAATTCTCTGCTATCAGCTGGAAACAGTGTGGAAAAGGTTGGACTGCAGCTGTGTCTGCAAGTACCTTGCCTTGGTGTAATTTATTGCAGTTTCCTACGTTCTTTGTGTCAGCTCCTGCTTTTGAAAACTCCATGTGTGTAAACATTTTCAAATATATATATATATAAAACACAAAGAAGCCGTTTCAGAGAAATAGGAACACATAGCAGGACTGAAATAATAAATAGCTTGCCACAGAAAGGATTTTTCTCCAACAGTTTTATCTTGATAAACTGAGACAGGACAAAAAGGCAACTGTGAATCGATCCGGAGTTTTTATGCATTGGAAAACCATGTTGAATCGCCAGAGTTTATTAAGAAGGGTAAAAAGACAGCAGTAGAATGACTATTTCTTGAGGGGAGATGGTTACACTCCTAGACCCTAATCCTGCAAACCCTTCCTGACTCAGGTAGTCCTTACTCTCACATGATTAGTTCAGTTGTCTACTACCTGACTCTCCAGGAACACACCTAACTTTGAGCATGCAAGTATCCCATATGCTTAAGTGTTTTGCTGAATTTGGGTTCTGAGTGAATAACGGTATGCAGGATTGGGTCCACGTGACATTTATTCTAAGGACCAGTTCCTGCCCCCACTGTCCTTGGCAGCAAAACCCTCTCTGAGTTGAAAGGGACCAGATTAAGCCGTTAGAAAGGTCCATTAAAACCACCGAAGAATGAAATGTTTGAACTTCTCCATGTCCAGAGTTTTCAGCTCCCAAAGATGACTTGAACTCCTGCCTGGCAAAAAGTTCGGTGGGATTTCAGAAGGGGTGTCAACAGGATTTTTTCCTGGCTGGGTAGCATAGGATGTGGCTTGAAGGATTCTTAATAGGAAGCTTGATTTCCTAGTGTCATTTGATTCTGAGCCTGGGAATTGTGGGCTGAGTCATCCCTTTCCATTGTGCAGCCTCTGCTGAGGCTAAAGGCGGAAGAAAACCAGATAGGGACACTCGGGTGGAGTTCCCTCCCGATCCTTTGGTCAGGGAATTTGACTCTGAGTCTCTGGCTATTTTTCCTCCTCCTCCTGTGTGCTTCTCTGGTCACAGCAGCCTCAGGGACCTCCCTGAACCCTTTAAAGAGGGATCTCTTGTGAAAACAGTCTGGCATAGACCAAGTGATAATGCCCGTGCTGAACATCTAGGGGTACTCCATGGGGTCGGGAAAGGGGGTGTATGTCACCCCAACCCAGCTCAGAGAAGCCCCTCCCTCCCACATCCCTGCACAGATCATAATCTTAGGGCAGAGCTGGGGAACCTTTTTTGGGTTGGGGACTGCTGACCCACAGAAAAATCAGTCAGGGGCCAAACACAAGTGAAAAGCAAAAACAAAAATAAAACAAACAACCCCTCCACACAAGTGAAAAGCAAAAACAAAAACAAAACAAACAACCCCTCCCTGACGTGCCCCCCAAATGAGAAGAAAGACACTCCCCACATTCCTCTTGGCCACCAGAGCCTACCGGGGCCCAGCCTAGTAGATTTTGTGTGCTCCAGCCTTGCAGTGTGGCAGCATGGGGGCTGGAGCACCAGTGTAGGCTCCCCCATGCTCAGAGGGGCCCTTATTAATTGGGGGCCAGATCCAGACAAGCTGGGGCCGCATCTGGCCCTCCAGCCTCAGGTTCCCCACCCCTGCTCTATAGGGGGAACCCTCTGCAGGGTCCTAGGAAAGGAGGGATGATTTTAATGGCAGTTGAACTCTCTCCCTTTCCACACAGGAGGGGCGAGATCCTCCTTTGGAAGGTCTATAAACCTAGGCTTTCCTCTGCCCCCTCCTTCTTTACTATGGCGATTGAGCTTCTAGGGCGGGGGAGGGGGGCAATAACTTTTTATGAGGGTCCACGCCAAGATTTTGGAAAGTTGCCAAGGGCTGCACTCTTCCATGATAATATCATATATGGAGATATACCATCTCATAGAGCTGGAAGGGACATTGAGAGGTCATTAAGTCCAATCTCCTGCCCTCATGGCAGGACCAAGCACCATCCCTGACCCATTTGCCCCAGATTCCTAAATGCCCTCTGAGCTTACAATCCTTGGTTTAGCAAGCCAATGCTCAAACCACTGAGCTATCCCTTCCCCCATTATTCATCAAAGAGGTGCAGGGTCTGGGATGGCGGTTGAGTGCAGAAGGGCACTTAGGGTAAGAGATTGGGGTGCAGGAGGGAAGACTTAGCTGGGTGACTCCTGCCCAACCAGCCTGTGGGCCATATATTGCCCAGCCCTGTCCTAGCGCCTCCTCCACATATAGATCTTGGCAAATAAGATGGGTTTTGATAGAAACTTGCCAACATTATTTCCCAGCTGACAGGATCTAACCTACATAGGACTAACCATGCTAAAATCATCATACACTCCGGCTGTGTCTAGACTGGCAAGTTTTTCCGCAAAAATCAGCTGCTTTTGCGGAAAAACTTGCCAGCTGTCTACACTGGCCACTTGAATTTCCGCAAGAACACTCTTCCTACTGTCTGAAATCAGTGCTTCTTGCAGAAATACTATGCTGCTCCCGTTCGGGCAAAAGTCTCTTTTGAGTTTTTCCGCAAAATCATCTGCTTTTGCGGAAAAACTTGCCAGCTGTCTACACTGGCCGCTTGAATTTCCGGAAAAGCACTGACGATCTCATTTAAGATTGTCAGTGCTTTTCCGGAAATACTATGCTGCTCCCGTTCAGGCAAAAGTCTTATTCCGAAAGACTTTTGCGCAAAAGGGCCAGTGTAGACAGCACAGTACTGTTTTCCGCAAAAAAGCTCTGATCGCAAAAATGGCGATCAGGGCTTTTTTTGAGGAAAACCGCATCTAGATTGGCCACGGACGCTTTTCCGCAAAAAGTGCTTTTGCGGAAAAGCATCCTGCCAATCCAGACGTGCTTTTCCGAAAATGCTTTTAACGGAAAACTTTTCCGTTAAAAGCATTTTCGGAAATTCATGCCAGTGTAGACGTAGCCTCCATGTACAGTCAAAAAGCAAATAGAATGCTAGGAATCATTAAAAAAGGGGTAGAGAATAAGACAGAGAATATCTTATTGCCTCTGTGTAAATCCACGGTACACCCACATCTTGAAAAATGCTTGCAGCTGTGGTCACCTCATCTCAAAAATGACATCTTAGCATTGGAAAAAGTTCAGAAAAGGGCAACAAAAATGATTAGGGGTTTGGAATGGCTGCCATAGGAAGAGAGATTAAAAAGACTGGAACTTTTCAGTTTAGGAAAGAGGAAACTAAGAGGGGATATGATAGAGGTCTATAAAATCATGACTGGTGTGGAGAAAGTGAATAAGGAAATGTTATTTACATGTTGCCATAACATAAGAACTAGGGGTTACCAAATTAAATGAATAGGTAGTAGGTTTTAAACAAACAAAATGAAGTACGTCTTCACACAATGTATAGTCAATCTGTGGAACTCCTTGCCAGAGGAAGTAATGACCAGGACCTTAACAGGGTTCAAAAAAGAGCTAGATAAATTCCAGGAGGATAGGTTCATCAATGCTTATTAACCAGGATGGATAGGAATAGTGTCCCTAGCCTCTGTTTGTCAGTGGATAGTTATGGTTACAGGGGCACTTGATGATTCCCTGTTCTGTTCATTCCCTCTGGGGCACCTAGAACTAGCCACTGTCAGAAGACAGGATACTGGGCTAGATGGACCTTTGCTCTGACCCAGTATGGCTA